CAGGGGGCAAAAGCCCCCAGACAACATAGCCCCTGGGATCCCTGGGACACACAAACCCCTCCACCACGATAAGGTAGCGATTCACGGAGCAAAATTAAAGCAAAATACAAAGAACGAGGTGGGCTCAAGTCTTTTGCACAGCACTGCACATTAACCTGTGTTTCATAAAATGGGCGCACAGTGAACCATTCAAACAGCCATACAGAGCACCTACAAAGTCTGAATAAGTGAAGACACCAAATCAAATTCTCTCAAAACCATCTTTATTCTTAAGACCCAAATCACAAATTCTGCAATCATCCCCCATCAGGCAAAAACAAAATCATCAGTCCTCCAAGCTGAAAATGTCCAACAGCCATTTGAGGAACACAATATTCTTTGTTCTTCCTTTTTTTCTGCCACAGATTCACTTTCACATCTCTCTGCACTTCCCGGTCGAATTCCCAGTTTGCATTAAACAGATGACTTAAACAAGAAGACACTCAAACACACAAGGAGAGAAGAGAAATCTGTGCCGACTGTGGATGACCGCCTCCTTCTGACCACGCTGTCCCTAAACGTGCTCATGTGTGGTTTCTTTTGGACATGAATCCAGCTAATTTAACTGTTTTTATCATTTGTTTTTTTAAATACGTCTCCATCAGACGTGGAAATACATTTGAGAGCAACACTGTATCTTTTTAACACTATGCAAAAACAATATGTTCATATTATGCTAACATCCGTAAAAAAAATCTGCAGTCTGAAAATATACATCCTTTTCCTTTGTACTGTAAAATAGCTTCTCTATGGCGCAACTCTTGCTATTGGTTGTAACTGAGAAACCTTACGAGCAACAACTCACGGGAGATATCACGGCCAACATTCACCTCCTCAGGTAAAATGAACATGTTCTTAACCAGCGGTGAGCAATGACGACGTTTACGTGCACCACAGCTCTGCGTATGTGCTCAGTGAACACAGCCAGGATACAAGATACCCAATTTATAGCCGTCCCGCAAAAAAGTTAAAAAAAAAAAAAGTAAAACTATGTATCAAAGTGTAAAAAAACATGTCGATTATTTTGGATTAAAGCTGCATTCATCATCCTGCTGTGAACTATTTGACTGTTGCAGATCTTTGCAAGTTTTAACTCCTTGTTTTGGTTTCACTTCCTCTTCAGTGCTTTTTTCAGTAAAACGCTCAGATAACTGATCAACATGCCAACAAAGTCATCGGGAGAACCCAGAGGAACGTGGGTAGGAGCTGTCAAAGAGCCCGGCTGCTCTCCAGCTTTTTAAGCTAAACTTTCAGGATTCATATTAGAGCGCCCACAGACTGAAATAAGTTTACAGGTTTGATGATATATTACTACATCAAGGCCATCATTTGCCTCAACCATAAAACTGACAGGTTTATTGTTATGAACTGCTCGACTTTATTACATTTATGAGTGAAAGTATTACTGACAGGTTATTTATATATTTTTTTACAGAAACCAAATAATGCCCTCCTCATTGTTTTTATCCAGGTCACTGTTTCACACTGTTTCTTCTTCATGATTATTGATTATTGTGTTTTTCAGCAGTTCTTTAACTGTGACCTGCATTAGTTTTACAGTATCTATGTGACTTTTATGATAACTGTGAGACGTCTCTACCTTCAAGTTCATTCTCTGACAACGGGGCTGGCTGCACAGACAGGCTGGCTCCATCCATCCAATCACAGGGCTAGGCTTTAGATACAGTACTGTGCAAAAGTTTTGAGCCACCCTTGCCTTTATGTTTTGCCTCCAACGAGTAAGCCTGCAACGCTCTGACTTTCATCTCTTCTTCTTCTTTGTGTTAAGCTACTCCACACTGACCTATAAACCATCGGGCAATATTCAAACTGTATGTTTAGCATGAGGGAGGTGGTCTCAGTAATCCCCTCGTTGTAGCTGAAGTCAGCAAATTGAAAAATGCAACAAACTAGAAAGTAAGGAGGAACACGGGCTGATGTGAAAGAAACTGACGGCTGTCACTGTCCTGATCACACAGTGGCTCATTTTATGCTTATGATGAGCATCCTGAACATGAAGCCACAAAGAGAATGACTGCGCTGTCGGGCAGCTTCACAGAGGGGGTGTGGTTTCACAGAAATATCATCAGCCTGTTAAAGAAACCTTTGTTCAATCTACTGCACGCTATAAAAACACATTACACATAACGCTGTCAATCACCTAATTTTGGACTTTCAGTGGTTAAAATCTGCGCAGCTTTCTTAGTGTCTCTTTACCTGCACAGGAAAACAGAATCATCTGCACAAACTCGGGAACTGTTATTACATTTGACAGCAGTAACAAAGTTCCAGTTTTGATTCCCAGGCCAAAATTCCCCGCTCATGAGGTAGCGGCTAATTACAGCCCAACAACTATCCTGGTGGAGGACTGGCAGGCCAAATCAAGAGCAAACACAGCTTTTTGTTTTTCGGGCTGCAAACAATAGTTGCTGCTACTTTAGCTGAATGTCTGAAAAGTTACACTGCCAAATTCCTGAGACTAGACTAAAAGTCTTTAGTTAAAAAAAGACGTGAAAGAGAGCCTAAGAACCGGGAACGTGCAACAACAAACCATGTTTACCGCATAAAAATGATGCTTTTTACATGACTTTGTTCAATCTACATGTTCTAACCAACAGAAGCACACCAAAGGGACATTGAGGTCCTGAGCTGAGATCCTGGGACTGTTGGGTTGAACATTAGATAGTCAGCCAACTTCTGATGTGTTTGTGCAGCCAGCCCCTGCTACTGAGACATGAAGACATTCATTTCATTAGAAAAACAGGTGATGTTACGTTAATGAGTCTAGCTCGTTGATGTTGGATGCGCGTTCTGACAGCTTTCGTCGAAGGCTTCTTCACATAACAAAGTCTTTCGTTGGCTGCAGACGCAGGGGTGCATGTAAACGTGGCCAACCGTTACGTTTCTGAATGGCTCCGTCTCAGTGGGGCCCGGCCCGGCCCTTCATGTCGACGGGGACCAGCCTGAGCTCGGGTGCCTCTCCCTCTGATTGTCTGTGCATTTATCTGAATCTGTACAGTTTGCGAGGTGTATATGTGTGAGGTCCGGGTCATTCAAACACTGCAGCAATTCTATTGCTTTGATAAAAAGGCATCACTTCACAGAAATGAGAAGAAACAAAATAAAATACAAGCTGCTTTGAGGAGTAGTGTGAAGCTCGAAAAAGCGAAATATAAAGAGCCGAGGTCTGTCAGATTGCAAACGGCAATACCATACCGAGGCCTTTTCAAGAAACAAAACAAAACCAGAGGCTAAAGAACAAAGAGCTCTACTTTTCACAATCTCACCAGCCTCGTCAGTGTACCTTGGTGATGGCGAAGCATACAGTTTACTTGGCCTCCGAATGCCACAGGTCGGTCACAGTTGTGGAGTCGGACCCATGTGTTATCTGTGTGAGCAATACACCAATCAGCCACACCACTAAAACCAGTTACAGGTGAACACTGGTTTTCTCTGCTGGTAAACCCTCCCATTTACCAACCCTCCAACCGAGGCAGACAGAGGCCCACTCCAAAAACCACTGCCAGTACCCGAGTGGGACCCAGCATCTGTGCCAGTCTTATTGTTGTGGCTGATCAGTTGCTGCACAACAGCTGCACAGATGTACTGTACATTCTGTATATGTGCATGTGTGTTACTGTACTATATGCATGCCATCCTGCGAGGGTGCCGGGCTCTTATTCACACATGTAAATAACAATACGCTTCAATCAGCCATAGCCCCAACTCACCATAGCACCATGACTTCACTGTTTTAATAGAAAGCCCACGTCCACTCACGGAGACACTAAACAAACAGAAAAAATGCTGACTAATTATTTGACTTTGAGGCAACATGGCTGAGATGAAACACTGAAATCTAATGCTGGTCTTATAGTTGAAGTTCCAACCGCAGACTGAAACACAGTAAATAGGACAGCCTGTGTGTGGACCGACAGGGAGCCAATTTATACTCAACTAAGGAAGTGGGGGGAGGATGCAGTGAGGGCATTGTTCACCTGGTTTTGGCACAACATGCAGTACTGTGACACACAGACGATCCTGGCCTCAGTGCCACCGTGTGACGAGTCTCCGGCACGACGAGCGGCTCATTTTAATGCTGCTTCTGCATTCCATTCACTGTCGCTCACGTCTACATCGCAGTTTTGGTTTTGTTGTTTCGTCGTTTTGTTTCTTGTCGAAATAAAGACAAACAGAAACTCGAGCAAGATATTTTGCACTGTACAGGTTTGAACGCACAGAACCTCTGCATTTTCAGTTAATCTGTCAGAGTTGCATATGAAATGCTTTGAGGTTGTGCTAATTAATCATTAGTCTATAAAGTATCAAAGCACCGGTCATATCATGCTGTCTGACAATAAGTCCAAAGGCAATTAACAACAAGCGAGAGACACTCTCTCAGTTTATTAGTGTCCACACTCTGATTTCATAAACACTCTTTGCTTTCAGCCAGACACAAAGATGCTTCCTGCTCATAAACAGAGAGCTGACCTTTGACTATTTTGCTGGCCCATATATGCTGCTGTAGTGCAACAGTATTTATGCAATATCCTGCAAAATGCCACATATCATTTTAAGGGTTGAGTAAGTAGACTTACTGTTAGCTGAAAGCCCAGCGTGTGTGTGTGTGTGTGTGAAGGGCCAGAGAGAAGTTGTGTTTGCAGTGTGCACTGCCACCGTGTGAAGTTTGAGGGGACTCATTACTCTAGTAGAGACACTCCAACAGACTAGTGTCCTTAGATTTGTGCGTCATGCAGACTGTCGGTTTATCCTTTGACTAAAAGCATCCTGTTTAGCTCTGCCTCGTTAAGGTTCGCCTTACCTAACGAGCCACTTTCTTCCAATAGGACGGCTTCGGGAAGCCTGGCTCAGGACGAGCTCTACCGCCTGCAGCAAACGAGTGTCACAGAAGGTGCGAGAAAAACCTTTGGAAACCTCGATTTAATAGCAGTCCAAGTGCTGGGATTGTTTTTACATATATTTAGTAAATGATTTGAAACTTTGGTCATGTTTAATAGGAACAATCAGCATTGCAACATCAACTGAGAAAAGACACACAGGTCCCCTTTAATATTGCAAAATCCTGCTCAGGTTTCTCGCTCGGAGCGTGTCTCGAGCTGACGTTTGTTTTTCCGACAGCTCTGGAATGCAGCGTTGCAACTTAACCTCGTAATGTGCGGCTGCCGAGAGACTTGCAGACACCTGCGAGCTGCCGTCCGTTAGAGTACGCGTTTTTAACGGTCACAGTAGGATGGCGAGGCACCGGAGAGACTGGACACTCACCAGATGGACGAAGGTTGATATATTAATGCGGTAAAGTGGAGCGGGTTTGCTGACGGCGTCTCGTGTCGTGGATGAGGCGAGCAGCCGAGTATTTCAACATAAAGGAAGGAATATACAACATGTGCTTGGCTTCTAACGAACAAACAAGTGTTGATAAGATTACCATGATGCAATAATGACAACAAAAAACCTAGAGTCAAATCTGAGGTGAGATGTTATATCCATGACAACAATAACAGAACAAACCAGAAAAGTCAAAAAGCTATTCACATGTACCCGCACTGTCAGGAATGGTTTCATCCAAAAATAGACCAGAGAGCTACTCTAAGGTGGAATGAAGTGACACTCAGTAGTGCTGTTAGAAGGTTCGTTGTGACGGGCTTTCTGCTGGTTCCACCCCTGAGACCACCAGGGTGCCCAGGCGCACACACACGCACGCACACACACACAGAAATCCACTGGTCAGTCCTCGAAGACCTCCAGAAACAGAGGAGGGAACAGCTCGGTGGGACACTCCACTTTCATGTGGAGGAATCGGCTGGCGTGGCAGGTGCCGATCATCCGCAGGTCTGTCACCTTCATTAGCAGCTTGGGCCAGAAATGTGCCACTTTGTGTTTGCGGTAGTTGATATAATGTTCAAAGGCCAACAGGAACTCCTCTTGGCAACGCTCGATTCGCTCCACACTAGTTAGGCCTGGACGATCTGAAGACACAAGCACACCAACAGTGTTGTTATGCAGCGTCCTGCAGAGCTGTAAAGCGTTTGTCCCTGAGGAACAGTGCTGAGAGAACCCTGATAACCTTTGGTCTTCCTTTGCTAATAGGAAGGATGGCTTACAATAGCTTAATTACAACTCACAAGGGTCTATCTATGACTGATTTGATTATGTGTTTGGGATCACTGTCATACTGGAATATGAAGATCATCCCAGTTGGATCCAAATCTGACTTAACTGGATCTCCAGCACCACTGGCTGCTGTGTGGATGCTCCCTCACCTCCTTCCACCCAGTTATTGTGTATTTGGCATATCTGAGCCTATTCCTCCTGTTTCCCTCACTTAGGCATGGCTTCTTCTTCTGTGATGAAGCCCTGTGCATGAGGAAGCAGCCTTAACACAACTGTCAAATACTGTTCTTCTTCTTTTGTCCTCGTTGTTTTTAAGGACACGCTGCACACCGCGCACAGTTTCAGTCAAAAGCTTTTTATGGAGAATCACCTGGTTGCTGTATTTGTCAATTCCTGTATTATTTGGGATGATTTGGAACAAATGTGGTGGAGGTAGGGCTCTGATCAGGTGTGTGGTTTATATAAGTAGATATATCTGTAAACATATATATCGTTATACGTGTTACTGAGGTTATAAAAAAATACATGTAAGAAATTATAATGAAGAACTTGTGATGGAGACGGCATGAACAGGAGGTTGGATTAAATGAGCTCATGCTGCTCGTTTCTGAACATGTAAGTTATTTATAATTATTATTGTTTTGTTTGTTTGTCTGTTTTTTCTCTCTTGTTGTTCTTATACTATTTAAACATGTCCAAAATAAAGATCCAGTACAAATACATTGTGTTCATGACTCTTATGTCATTTTTGACTGAAAATGAGTTAAACACAGGCGCAGCTGTGGATACACTACAGTGTCAGTTATTATTTATTGCAGTACTCACAATTATTTTTCTTTTTTGGTACAAAATTTAAAGATGATCAATAAACACAAATAATTAACTTTCTATCCCAAAGCGCTTCGTTGCCCCAATAGCAGTGTTATCTAACCGTCAGTGGATACTGTAAAGTGTCAGGACAGATGGGTCTGCACCATAAAGCACACGAGTATTGATCTTCAATGAGAGTATTACAGAGAAATGCCAGTGGAGCCAGAAACAAGCTAACAGGCCAAAGCTCCTCACAATGATTACGGTGATTAATTGATTAAACTGTGGTTTGATATAGATTTCATGTCAAAACCAAGTATTCACACAAGCTGTGCAGCTGCAGATTCACGCTGCTGTACTTCCTAAAAATCTGTTCCCTGTAAGCCAACGTTACCAACGGTGTAATAAGAACGCAGTAACGCCGCTGTGCTAAAATAGAGCGAGACCTAGAAGAGCGAGAAAGAAAACCCTTTAATAACCTCTTATGTACTCGGGTAAGTGTGCACTCTAGGCGATTACCGGATGAAAGCAGGATAACAGCTTGCAGAAGAGCCACCTCAGAGTCATCCAAGTTAAAGGAGGACAGCGACACGCCAAGGTCAAAGATGGCGTCTGAGACGACGCCCAAGCCTCCGTTCTTGAGCTGACCTCGTGTCACTGCCATCTCGCCGTTGAGTGTGAGGGTCTCGCTTTCTGGATCGTAGCGAACAGCAGCCCGCAGCGACATGATCTCCATGCAACAGCCTTTCAACAGGATGATCTGGTCTTCACAAGGCAGCTGGGTTAAAGAGAAGAACGGCTTATTTAGGGACAGGTGGAACTTCCATTATGTCAAAGACTGTGAAAGATTCATATTCAATCTGAATATACAGCTTTAACCACTCAGTGACACATTCACAGTCACCCTTTCCACTCAAACAAACCTACCTCACAGAACATAGGCAGTTTTTTGGCAAAGTCCACCACACGGGTTATGGCAGGGGTGATAATTTTTGTAAACTGACTGAAGGCTTCTATGTCCACTTTACTTCCTTCAGGTGCATTATCCGTGGACGCTTGACCAATATCCTCAGGCTGAAAGAACGAGGAGTGGACATCAGCTGGTTTCATCGCATCATTTGTTATTTATCCATCGTTTTACATGTAAATGGCTGAAAACCCGTCGTTAGGCTCAACTGAACCGTGTATCTGTGTGTCTTACCTTAGCTTCCTTCACCCCCGCTGCACTCTGGTCAGAAGTATAGAATAAATTACATGTTATTTCATTAAGAAGCATTGCTTCCTCGACCTGTTGGATAATCAACAGGAATCGTGAAGTTTCAATGAAGAACCCGTGTCAAGCCAACTAAAATAAAACAAGTTAAAACTGAAGACAGATGAAAGAGTGCGCAGACAGAAAACAGGTAAAGACAGAAATAGGACACGAGTTTCCACAGCAAGACTCGGGACCACGGATCAAACGGATCCTCGGGAACGCTCTTCATTGGATCTTTGTATGAGACCTCAATCAAATCTTTGGTCACGTTTTCAACACTTTTTGAAACAAATTGCATGAAAGTTTGCAGACAGATTAGGCTGTGTTCATGTTGCTGCAGGGAAAGTCTTTCCCCCGTTTCCCCAGTATCCTGAAAAATAAGCCTTCTTTTTTTGCCAAACCCCGCCGATCAAATAATTCTGCGATTAATGAGCGTTCCCTTTAATCGTGCCATAGAAACTCGGTATAACGCCAACAAACAGCTGACAGACTCTGAGTCCGGACAGAGTAATCAAACTTAACAGAAAAAGCAAAATTAGTCAAAAACAGAGTGAGGTGTGAAATCAAAAGCTACAAACAGAAAGAGAGGAAAATTAAACAGCACGGAAAAAGCAAGTCATTAGTATTAGCAATTAAGAGTTGCTGCTCGGCAAAACATAAGACAAGAGTAAGATGTTCCAATATAAATTAGTGCTGCTGCGTTGAGGAAACACTTTTCTCCATCGTCCAGCTAATTCTCCCCACTCTACAAGGAGATACAAAAAAACACATGGACATATTAACATAGGGAACAGTGGAACAATGGTGGTGGTGGTGGAAGAGGAGGAGACATGAAGCGGAAGGGGGCTGGGACGGGTTGGAAGCGGGCTGAGATGGGCGGGAGGGGGAGGTAGGTGGGGGTCAGGGGGGTTGGTGGTTTGAACAGGGCACAGTAATCGATACAATCAAGGCCTTGGTGAGGAGGGAAGGAGGAGGAGGACGATGTCTCACCAGGAATTTCCGCTTCTGCTTCCAGTGGTTGCCCTGGGCGTTTGTGGCCATATGGGCTTCGGTCACCATACGGATGAGGTCCCACTCCTCTTGGGTGGGCTCCAGTCGGTCCCACGCCGTCTTCTGCAGTTCCTCCCTCCGACGGCGCTCCCGGTTCTCCTCGATTAGCTTCCGCTTGGCCAGCCGCTTACTGTCATCCAACACCACTGGGGCAAATAAAGGGGGTCAGCAGGGGGCCAAGGGAGGCCAAGAGAGTGGACGGGAAGGAAAAGGAAAGAGGGAGAGGAGGGAGGAGGGTAGGGGGGCATAAAATGATGACTCGCTGAGGTGCAGAGTTGTTCCAACACAGAACATGACATCCCGCTGAGGTGACACTTGTTCATGCTTCATGATTGTTCTTGTGTTTTGAACCGTTTTATGTTTTGGACTTTCAGAAAGCTCACGGTCAAAAATGATACAGATACAATGTAGCAGGAGGCTTTAGAGTCAAATGACCCACACATGAAAACAAACTTTCCATTGTATGAAAAATGTGAAAGGCACAATCAAACAAAACGTGAATATGGAGACCATTATTTGTTTTTCCATGTGGTGAAAAATCATCACTGCTTTTATTTGGAGTAAATATATTTCAGGTGATGACAAACCCTGATGAACTTTCTTTAAATCCAACTTTTCTTTGTTGATTTTGTTACTAATTCTGCACTTTCTTTATAAATGTCGTTGTTTTTGTAAATAAATGTCAGAATTCTTTTTTTCCAATTGAAGAACAGCAGAAATGCAAAAGTGACATAAAAGCTATAAAGACAAGAGTCAAATATCCTGTTACTGAGGCCACTTACAGTCTGTTGCCATTCCCACTGCAATGCACTTCTTGAAGCGACATTCCTGGCACTGGTTCCTGGTCACTTTGTCAATAACACATTTGCCCTCGTACTTACAGGCGTAAGTTGGATTGAGATTCTTCTGGATTGTCCGCCTGAAGAATCCCTAGAAAACAGAAGGCGACGTGATCAGAACAGGGAGACGGCGAAGGCTGAGGCCATGTGGTCACATGGTTTACCTTGCAACCTTCACAGGTAATACAGCGATAGTGGTAGCCTGTAGCTTTGTCCCCACACACTACGCATAGCTCATCCTTGTCCAGGTAACTTGGTATGTACCCTAGAGAGAAAAGAAGGAGACAACTGGATTTGTTTTAATTTTAAAAATAAGGCAAACGAATGTCAAGTAAATTTGACGACTGCCATTCACAATGTTTTTCCAAACACATTCATTTTTTATTATATTTTAATTAAAATTGGGGCAATGTACTATTCTTTGCACAGTAGTAAAAAGATAAATGTATACACACTCACACACACATATGAATGAATGTGTGCATTTGCATAAAATACACACTACAGAATGATGTAACATGACTCGTTGTAGTCCTGTTAAAAACTACACCCCCCATGACTCAGCAGTGGGCACGTCTGTCGCTGGCCCATCTTCTTTATAATATTTCTTCACTTTGTTGAGATTTGCAGGGAAGTTTTCATGCACAGCTCTGCCACTGAGTTGAGGTCTAGATTTTGATCAGGCACCACTCCCCCCAAGGCCTTAGCTTTAGCTTGAGTCTGGAATACTTTTGTATACAGAGACGTTCATGGTCAGCTCAGAGACTATAACATATTCAGGATCTGTGGCTGCTAAACGAGTACAAATGATCACTGCTCCTCTGCTGTCCTTGACAGTTGCTATGCAGCATTTGTACTGCCCTGCTGTGTTTGGTTTTCTCCAAACAAGGTGCTTTATCTCCAGACATCGCTGCTTTGCAAAGTTCTTGAGGTGTTGAGGTTTGTTCCTAAGTCTAAGCCATGCTGTCATGTTATTTTAGAGGCTTTCTTCTGGCAACGCTTACAAACAAGCGATAGTTGTTCAGTCTCTTTCTAATTCTACTGCTATGAACATGCTAACTGAAGCCTGTAGAGTCTGAGATGTTGGTCTTGGATTTTTGGCATTTTCTGAATATTGCGTAGTTTGACCATGGGGGGAATTTGTTGAGACCTTGGCTCTTGGGAACCTGTGGAATTGTTTTAGTAGTTACCTGAATGCTCTAGATCAGCAAACTGCCAAAACCTGTTCTTTTCTGTAGGTGGTCACACTTGCTAACAGCAGAGTGTGGAGCGGCAGGTAAACTCTGATGCTTCGAACACACTTCATGGAAAAATCTTTGTAGACTCTAATATTGTGGAGTCTATCTTGTATTTGAGATTGGGTTGAGTGAGTTCTGTCACCAGGACAGCAGGTTAACAAACTGATCAATATCTTTTGTCAGCCTTCTGTTGCCTCAACAGCAATCAATAAGGAACCCCGTCTACCTCAATCAAACACAGCAACAAGCCCTGATCACAGACCAGCGCACGATGCCTTATGTCTCGGATTTATGCTTATCGGACTTAATTTGAAAATCCCAGACATCATTGATCGATGATCAAGAAGGACCAATCATCAGTTTGAGCAAGTGTATTACAAGTCTGTTATATTATAGACACACACACACACACACGCGCACACACACACAC